TAGTAGTAGTAGTAGTAGTAAAAAGTCCTATTTCAAAACACTGAAGTCTCCTCTGCTTTACAATGAGTTTATTTCTTAAGCAATAATACTTTTCTTATTGATAAAACATAGTAGGAACAACCTCTATATATTATACTCTTAAAGCCACTTAACCACTCACTGCATCTGCCCCACTCATAACAACTTAACCACTCACTGCATCTGCCCCACTCAAAACAACTTAACCACTCACTGCATCTGCCCCACTCATAACTTAACCACTTACAGCATCTGCCCCACTCATAACTTAACCACTTACAGCATCTGCCCCACTCATAACAACTTAACCACTCACTGCATCTGCCCCTCATAACAACTTAACCACTTACAGCATGTGCCTCACTCATATAACTTTACCACTCCTGCATCTGCCCCACTTAACCAACCCTCACTGCATCTGCCCCACTCATAACAACTTAACCTTACAGCATCTGCCCCTCAAGATAACACTCAACCCTCAGTTCATCTGCCCCTCCTAAAACTTAACCACTTACATCTGCCCCACTCATAACAACTTAACCACTCACTGCATCTGCCCCCTCATAACAACTTAACCACTCACTGCATCTGCCCCTCATAACAACCAACCACTCTGCATCTGCCCCACTCATAACAACTTATCCACTCATTGCAACTGCCCCACTCATAACAACTTAACCACTCTGCAACTGCCCCTCACCAACAACTTAACCACTTACAGCATCTGCCCCACTTAACAACAACCCCTTACAGCATCTGCCCCTCATAACAACTAACCACTTACAGCATCTACCCCACTCAACAACTTAACCACTCAGTGCATCTGCCTCATAACAACTTAACCCCTTACAGCATCTGCCCCACTCATAACAACTTAACCCCTAACAGCATCTGCCCCCACTCAAGATAACACTCCAACCACTCAGTGCATCTGCCCCTCATAACAAGTTAACCCCTTACAGCATATGCCCCCTCCAACATAACCACTTAGCATCTGCCCCCCTCAAGATAACACCAACCACTCAGTGCATCTGCCCCATAACAACAACCCCTTACAGTATATGCCCCACTCATCAACTTCTAAACCATCTGCCCCCACTCAAGATAACACTCAACCACTAGTGCATCTGCCTCCTCATAACAACAACCCCACAGCATATGCCCCTCATAACAACTTAACCCCTAACAGCATCTGCCCCACTCAAGATAACACCCAACCACTCAGTGCATCTGCCTCACTCATAACAACTTAACCCTTACAGCATATGCCCCACCATAACAACTTAACCCCTAACAGCATCTGCCCCCACTCAAGATAACACCCAACCACCAGTGCATCTGCCCCACTCATAACAACTTAACCTCAACCACTCAGTGCATCTGCCCCACCATAACAACTTAACCCCTACAGCATCTGCCCCACTCATAACAACTTAACCACTTACAGCATCTGCCCCTCATAACAACTTAACCACTCACTGCACCTGCCCCACTCATAACAACTCAACCACTCAGTGCATCTGCCCCACTCATAACAACTTAACCCCTTACATCATCTGCCCCACTCATAACAACTTAACCACTCAGTGCATCTGCCCCACTCATAACAACTTAACCCCTTACATCATCTGCCCCACTCATAACAACTTAACCACTCAGTGCATCTGCCCCACTCATAACAACTTAACCACTTACATCATCTGCCCCACTCATAACAACTTAACCACTCAGTGCATCTGCCCCACTCATAACAACTTAACCACTTACAGCATCTGCCCCACTCATAACAACTCAACCACTCTGCATCTCACCATGACCCCACACGCATGGCAACAGGCAGGACTAACACGATGTAAACAATTCAGTCAAATATAATCGCTCACTCCTCGTTAACATAATCTATTAAGCTCATGATGTTTACATATGGATTATATATAAAGTAACAGGTGGAAAACATTTATATCTAACTTTCCAAAGGTGCTTAGGGTAGAAACTGACCTCGTGTCTATATCACCAGCCATTAACATGTATAAAACTATATATTTGGAAATCAATTGCATTTAAAAGATGTGGTGGAATAAAATGTCTTTCTGTGAAGGATCAATTTTAAAGTTTTTGCTGGAAAAATTGCTCATAATTTATGCTAATGATTTTCTGACCTGCAGGAATGTGCGGTAACAGGTCGCGGGTACACGTACTCTCAGCTGGTGGACCGCATCGCCAGGTGGGGCGGGATGCTGACCAAACTGGGCATCGAGAAGGGCGATGTTGTAGCAGTGATGATGCACAACTACCCGGAGTATCCCATCGTGATTCTGGGAGCTACAGCCATCGGGGCTGTTGTGTCCACCGTGAACGTCTCCTACACTCCTGGTAAGTCTCAGATACCATCTCTTGTCTCTGGTCGTAGCTGCGTGGTGGATGAGAACTGAATGTTCGGCCTCTGATTGTAGAGGTGATTAAGGTAGAGGTTTTTCTTATTGTTAGTTCATCTGCATACCTGTTGAGGTGTACCTATACGTAGCACCAGACGACCAGAATAGAAAGGCAAAGCCTTATCAACACCTGCTACTCACAGTATCTATACACGGTGATAACCCCCCTCGATCGTCTCGGCTTTTTTCACATTACTACCGGTGTAATCTACAGAGCGCACCTCAATCTTGACTCGTTATTTCAGGATTTTTCTCTCCCCAAACAGGGGAAGTCCATGGTCAACTGGAAGACTGTGGTGCCACACTAGTAGTTGGGGACACATTAACGGAGAAAACTCTTGCCCAAGCAATTACACTGTGTAAGACACCTTCTGTTGTAGTGATAAATGGTCCTTCTTCTGCGTCTGGGGCTTTGGACTTACAACAGATTATAGAGGATACGTCTGTCCCATTTGCTGACCCCTTAGAGGTTTGTATTGATACTTGTACATTCTGACATTTGGAGAAGTAATTTAGAATTCTGTCAACCTTTATCGATTCCCTGCTGATTTTAATTCATGTTACTAGAATGTTAGAACAGTGTTTATCTCGTTTCTTGGATTAGGTTTTCAAGGAGGACGTGGCAGTGATGCCATACTCAAGTGGCACGACAGGAAAATCTAAGGGAGTTCTCATCTCTCACCACGCTACCATCTCCAGCATGCACATAGCCGCCAACCCCAATTTCTTTTGGGGCTCCGAGACGACAGGTTAGTTGCGTATGGTATTATACCAAGTTGTAAAGTATTGACCTAGTCTGATGCCAATATTGTTATGCATAGTTCGTTTCTCTTTGTTAAGGAGAGAGAGAGAGAGAGAGAGAGAGAGAGAGAGAGAGAGAGAATGAGAGAGAGAGTTTATTCTACCATGTACAGTAGGATGGTCCTCATGTCTGCACCTGGTTAAGGCTCATCATCACATTAAGGAGTCTGGTTATATAGCTAATAGCCGCACTGAAAAGCTAATACATCTTTAATATTCTGTTCTATAATTATTCTGCACAACCTCCAACAAACAGAGTGACACTAGGATATTTTACTTGTTAAAATATTGTGATTCAAGAAGAGTATAGGAGTTGTGTCTCACAGATTGTAACCAAGAATCCATCCTGTGTTACCTCCCCTTCTACCACGCGTATGGGCTTGTGCCTATTATGATGGTGTGGCTTCAGATGGGTGCCAAACTAGTCTGTGTACCATGGTTCGATCCCAACACCTTCGTCAGGGACATTAGCCAGCATAAGGTGAGTGGCGAAGTATGCTGCTGGTACAGTGAAGCCTTGAGTATGTGTGGCGTGATATATACAGTGATTATTATCCAGTACACATGGTGTGTGTCGGAGGCTAGTTACAGTATAGGATAAATTATTCTCATGGTGTGTGTCGGAGGTTAGTTATAGCCAAGTACATGTATTCCCTATGTATCATCGCTTGTTCGTCGGGTCTATCTACGTGTTTAGAGTCAAAATTGGTCGATATTAAGAGTCTACTGGTTAAACATTTAGTGCCCGAGGGATGTTAAGCGCTTGCAGTAGTTATATCCTGAAACGAATGTTGATAAAGGTGACTCACAGGTGATGGATGAAGTTGGTCCTAAGGTGACAAAAATAACTGCAAAGAAATTATTTTATATATTCTATATTTACCTGTTTGATATACCTAGAGTGTTTTACATCTGCAACTCTCTTGCTTAATATATGTTTGTCTCCTAACCAAGCATATCCCCAGTTCATACTTAGTTAACCACACTGATGTTTCCAATATTTTAAGTTATCTGACGGTTCCACTAAGCCCTCATCCATGTTTCTATTTGTAGGTGAAATATCTGCATATGGTTCCTACTATCCTCAACTTCTTGAACCATTCCCCCACTGTCACCCCTGAGGCAATGGCTTCTGTCAAGGCTGTCATGTGTAGCGCTGCCCCTACCGCTCCCCCCGCCGCTGCCACCTTCAAGGACAGACTCGGGGGGAACATATTCTTCCAGGAGAGTAAGGAACAGTCTGAAGGTTTCCATATATTGCAAAGGGGGGGGTTATAGAGTGTTTAATTTAGATAGGAAAACATAATCACTATCGATATTTTGCTGAACATGAAGAGAGAAGTTAACATTAGATTTGAAACAAGAGGCTTGACTCCTGTTGGTAGATTTTCATCAGATCGACCATCTTCTCAGAGAATATGAAGCTCAAGTTTCCTGCTGACACATAATGCACAAAAATACAGATAAACTTTGCACATTAAGTAGGATTTCCTTCAACACGTTAAATTTTTCTTTAAGTCGACCATCAACTTTTTATTTTCCATTTCTTACCCTCGTAGGTCGTGTAGATTAGAGTACTGTTATTAACACTTCAACCATGTGTTACTATGGCTGTTTCCTTGAGTCCAACATCTCCATATTCTACTCCGGGTACATCTTGAAGGTCATGTCACATCTTCTGGTAAAGCTGAAGTGTTTGGCTGACATGTAAAGTTTACCTCAAGTTTTGTGGCCATGCAGATCTACTAGTGTACTTAAAGGACACATCATGATTTTATAATTTATGTTTGACTCGTAGTTTTTCTTTTTATTGCCTTTGTGAGTCTCTAACATATACAGGGTGAGCATAAAGTCTTTCCCTGATTACAAACATTTATTACACAAAACATATGCTAGGTACAAACATTCAGTTTTTTGCAGCTTATAGCTTATCTCAAGAAGTTTTTTCCCGTTACTCGTGAACTTCAACACGTGTTCCGTTTGTTGCCAACAGCACATCTAAGCGATACTCAATTTCACGCCATGTTTTCTGCAGCATCTCTTCAGTCACCGTCGCTATTGCCTCCGTTATCCTTGCCTTCAGAGTTTCAAGATCAGGAACTGGTGAGCTGTACACTTTGTCCTTCGTATACCCCCATAAAAAGAAATCAAGAGGGGTAATGCCTGGTGAACGTGGCGGCCATGGTGTTGGACCATCTCTCCCAATCCATCGGTTTGGGAAGGTTGCGTTCAAGAACTGTCTGTAAAATATGCATGAAAAACAATCTATGAATTCGTCTACACAATGCTACAACTTTCATGTTTCTATCTAGAATGATCTTCGAGATATGATTTTTCATAATCAGGGAGAGACTTTATGCTCACCCTGTATACTCCTTTATAAGTATTTATTTTCATTAGTAACTTCTATCTCAATATTTCATCTCCATATTGTTATTTTCATCATCCTCTTCAGCAAGAGTTCAGTTCTCAGAGAAAATATAAACTTTCCATATTTGTGTTGATTCTTTTATACTGGAACTGGAAACGTTTATGTCTCAGTAGTCTTCGATGACGAGGAGTTGATGGCATGATCGTTAATAAGTATGTAATTATCCTGATCATCTACCTGTCTCTGATCAGGTTTCGGCATGACAGAAGCGGGCTTGGTGTGTAACACAGCCAAAGGTCGAGAGCGGTTAGGAAGCTGTGGTCATCTGCTGCCACATCTGTCAGCCAAGGTCATTGATACTGTGACCGGGGAGGAGTTACCGCCCAACCAAGACGGAGAGATTTGCTTCAAGTCGCCAGCGGTAATTTACACTTCATGTTAACCTGGCCAGTTTCTTATTTATTTATGTCAGCAACCGTAATCTTCTTTTTTTTGACGGAACTATTTAATAACAGTTGTATTCTTTATTTTATTTGATATATAAATAAGAGATGTTAATTTCTTTCACCAGCACAGTATTTAGTTATTTGTCTTACCATGGAAGCATATAGGCGGTAAATATAATGCAAACCTAACACTAACATCAATATATACAAACAATCAGCTTCTTCGTTGTTGTATGGCAGCAACTTCACAACCTTCCCTGTACAGCTTAATTTATTACATTTCTCTATCTAATATCCGTGGCTAAATCGCCGATTGGCGTCTACAGCGTAACAGTGGTGTGAGGGGAGGCCGTGAACTGGAGCGGAGAAAGTGTGGTGTCAGAGGGATCACGGTAGCAGGAGTATTCTCAGTTTATAAACACTTTTATTACACTACACTTGTTCTTGCTCAATGGTAACTGTTTTTTCTGGTTAGATACGGTATCAAAGTCAATTTCAGTTTCAAAAGAACTATCCAGCCTGGCACCAGATGAGGACGGGAGTTGGTTTATACAAACCCTCACCACGTGGCCGGGGGTGACCACATGGGTAGGCCTGCCTCGCGGACACCTACACACGCCACAGTGCTCAACCCACACGTTAGTTCACTTGTTATACAGGCAACAGATTTGCAGTTGTTGACCTATCGGTTAAGGTAATCCTCCAAGTGATAGTGTTAGGCAGAACACCTGATATTCAGTAACACACTGTGAGAATCCTGCTCCTCAAGGCCCAGTGTGTACCACCGTAATAATAAAATGATCACAGGTGGTCGACACACACAGCCCTGCCCGCACACACGCTGAGGGGAAACATACTGTTGATTGGGTGTGTGTTACTTGTGATGAAATGATGTTATTGAGATAGATTCTAAATGCCATGATCTTTAGGTTAAACTTAAACTACCCTAAGCTAAGCTAAGCTAAGCTAAGCTAAGCTAACCCAAGCAAACCTAACCTATATTATGTGCCTCTTTAACGAACTAGGTAATATGACATAACCTAACTCAATCTGACCAAGCTTAAGTTAAGTTAGGTTACCTTAGCTTAGGTTGGGTTAGCTTAGGTTACCTTAGGAGCCAATCTCAAGAACTGGGCAATAGTTAACTAACATTAGCACATATTAACATTATGCTGATATAATGAGTAAATATTTTTATAACTAAATGGTAAATTAAAGCAGAATCTAACAAACATACATATTTCATTATGAATATTTTTCTCTGACCAGTTAATATGAAATGTGTTTTATACAATCAGGTAACATCAAAGCTGACAGGTAAATTACTCTTGTTAACGTTTTTGTAGAGTTTGTCTGGATATTTAAACAACCCGGCGGCCACAGCGGAAACAATTGATAGTGAAGGATGGATTCACTCAGGAGACATTGGTAGTTTCGATGAAGAAGGATTCTTTAGGATTGTTGACCGAACCAAGGAGTTCATCAAGGTTAAGGGAAATCAGGTAAGTCATTATGTTACATAAGAACATAAGAAAATAAGGAGTCTGCAATAGGCCGGTTGGCCTGTGCATGGCAGCTCCTGTCGAGAGTTACTACCACTCTCTATCATCCATGAATCTATCCAGACTCCCTTTGAAACTTTCCAGCGTTCCAGCACTTACTACAAGGTTGCTAAGCTTGTTCCACTCGTCCACCACCCTATTTGTAAACCAGTTCCTTCCTATCTCCCTCCTAAACCTAAAATTATCCAACTTGAATCCGTTGTTCCGAGCCCTATCCAGCTCGGATATTATAAGAACTTTATCTATACCACCTTTATTGATTCCTTTCACCCACTTGAATACTTCTATCATATCTGCCCGCACTCTTCGTCTTTCTAGGGAATGCAAGTTTAGTTTCTTTAACCTATCCTGATATGGAAGGTTTCTAAGTCCCGGAATAATTTTCGTCATTCTTCGCGGCACCGACTCTAGTGAATTGATATCCATTCTATAATAAGGGCACCAGAACTGAACCGCATAATCGAGGTGCGGCCTGACTAGCGCAAGATATAGTTGCAATAAGACCTCTGCACTCTTATTACTTACACTTCTAGATATAAAACCCAATACTCTGTTTGCCTTATTTCGGACATTAACGCACTGTTTTCTAAGCCGTAGGTCCGGGCTTACAAGTACCCCTAGGTCTCTTTCACAAGTCGACTTCTCTAGGTTGATGTTGTTAAGGCTGTATACATTGACAGTATTTGTTCTTCCAATATTAAGTACGCTGCACTTGCTGGTGCTGAATTTCATTTGCCATTTTTCAGACCACCCCTGTAGTTTATTTAGATCCTCCTGTAATGCATTTGCATCCTGCCCTGAATTAATCTGCCGCCCTATTTTGGTGTCATCCGCAAACTTGCTTATGTCACTGCTGATCCCAGTATCTAGATCGTTTCTGTAGATTATGAACAAGAGTGGGCCTAGTACTGACCCCTGGGGAACCCCACTGGTTACACGACCCCACTCAGATTTAACACCATCTACGCTGACCCTCTGCGTTCTATCGGTGAGCCATGATTTTATCCAATTTAAAACTTCCCTCGATACCATGAGCCTTAACTTTTCTCAGAAGCCTCTGATGCGGTACTCTGTCAAATGCTTTGCTAAAGTCAAAGTCAATAACATCGTAATTTTCGTCATTATCTACTACCTCGAAGACTTTCCTAAAAAACGTCAGCAGATTTTTTAGACAAGATTTTCCCTTTGTAAACCCATGTTGAGAGTCGTAGATTAATTTCCCTCCTCCACAATAAGATACAGGTAACAATTTTGACTTTTTATTGAAGCTTTATATTCTGTACAGCCGTCGTCTACTGTTATGACATACACTCACACACTCTTAGTTCCTGATACAAAAGTGGTTAGAGATTTGTGTCACTCATATAAAACCTAATTAACATATAGAGTTAATCGATAAAAGGGTTCCACTACTATTAGAGGAAATTAAGGGATTTTTTTTAATTAAGTCCCTCTTTGAAGTGGTTATGAAATTAGTCTCACATTCACCACACTTCATAATGCAGGAAAACGTTTATCTGATACACATGTTAGTAAATGTATAATGTAAAGTTATAAACAATGTATTTTCAGATAAACGAACGAAATGTTATCTTATTTATGTTACTTTCGTCCAGGTGGCACCGTCAGAGTTGGAGGGACTGATCTTACAACACCCGAATGTGGTGGAGGTGGGCGTGGTGGGTGTGCCGGACGACAGGCTTGGGGAGGTGCCGCGAGCTTACGTGGTCACCTCAGCACCGACGACACAAACCGAGATTAAGGAGTCAGTACCGTATACAGTACAAGTTATTACGGGTATATTACTATTTATTTAGCGAAGGTGGTTTTAATGATCATTTGGATTAGAATGTAAATGCTGTTGCAGAATTCTTTAATGATAACGATTTTGTTTTGCATTTTAGAGTTTTTGCTGATTATTAAGAAATTCCTCCTATAGCTCTAATATTCTTTGTGTAGTGTCAAAATTTCACTCACTGCTGCCGTTAAGTCCTTGACCCCATGTGACCTAGTATCAGCAAAGGTGGAAGCCGATATTAACACTGAGTGACTAGATATTACCGCTGTCGTCACTGAGCTGGATTCTCAGGTCACTGATTGAATGTAACTTCAACTTGATTGATATTAACGCGGTGACCACTTAAGGTTCACAACAGGGCGACGATGTTAAAAGTTTTCTCACGAATAGAAGACTTCAATGTGCGAGTTCCTACCCCCACACCCACCCTCCCTCCCTCCCTCTGTCTCCGTTCTTTCCCTCCCCCCTCAGCCCTTTCCTCTCACCTTGTTGACACCAATATTCCAGTTTCAACTTAGAAAACAAAAATCAATTTTCTATTCGACTTACACGAGTGTCGCTGTCAAACCTCCTAAGGATTTTTAGACCAAATTCATTTTTGTTCAATTATACGTCTTTATATAAAACTCTTAACACATTTTAATAATAGCTGCTTCTTTCAAGGTTCGTGGAGCCGAAGTTGGCCCTCTTTAAGAGGTTGGCGGGAGGCGTCATCTTTATAAATGAAATACCTAAGACAGCCACTGGAAAACTGCTCAGGAAGGAGCTGAGGAAGATGGCTCTGACGGCGTCTTGTGCACACGACACGAAGGAGAAATCCCTGGACGAAACTCCCATAAAAGAAGACAAACTGTAGGATGAAAGCTGCTGGTACAAGGACAGTGTGGGCATCTACAGGGTATGGCAGCGTACATAACCATCCAGACAATCACATCATCTTTTTTTCGACAATCTCTTTACTTCACCACGATATTTTACACGAGATAGAACTGTCTGGATTTGAGAGTTTCAAGGGACTGCCTGAGAGGAAAGACTTCAAAATGGTTCAGTAAAAACAACTAAAGTTCACTCCAAAGAGCCAAGGGGTGTTGCTGATCATATAGTTAATGAAAATAATGAAATAATTATGACACGATGGACTGTCAATAAAATAATTTCATTCATAACAAATTACGTTGACAGTGAACTACCAGCGAGGCAACACAGTACAGAAAAAAGATTATAATTGATGTTAGGTAATTATGGTTTGGCCCTAAGTTATCAATTTGTAGGTAGTAGGCAGCTACCAAACAGGGAGGTACTACCGCCTGGGAAGATATTGGAAGCATACGTATTGTGTTGTCTAATGGAAGACCCTGCTGCCATATGTGACCAAGTCCCAGGTTGATGATCTGACTTTCTGCTTCATTTACACACAACTGCAGGGTCTCAATTGTTTCTCTTACCATTGACAACACAACATACATATATTGTTTCTCACTTTTGATCTTTTTTTCATTTTTGTATTTATAGTTCTTTATTATTAATATTATTATTATTATTACAGTTACTGTATTATTATCATCATTATTTTATTATTTTATTTTTGTTTGTTTTATCATAAATTTTATTTATTATGAATTATTATGACTATTATTTATTATTATTATTATTATTATTATTATTATTATTATTATTATTATTATTATTATTATTATTACATTTTCGCCCCCCAGGCCCCGATGTGGGTCAGTGACCTGTGTCCGGGTGGGCTAATCCCGTAAAAAAAGAGCATGAGCTGGCGGTAATCACCCGTCTAAGACCAAAACGTAAGACATCACTGGCCGTTGCCCTTGTTGACTTCAAGAAGGCTTTTGACCTTGTTGATCACTGCACTGTTATCAACAAGTCTATTGCACTGGGGCTGCCCACCAACCTGGTCTCATGGCTCACTGATTTCTTGAGTGGACGTCGCCAGGCAGTGAGGAATCAGGGCTCGGTCTCCACATTCCAACACCTCACCTGCGGTGTTCCCCAGGGGACCAAGATGGGACCACTATGCTTCCTCATCCTGATCAACGACGCTTTATCGGACACCCCTCACAGGTGGAAGTACGTAGATGACTGCACTGTGGGGGTTTCAGTGGACAACACCGCACCAGACTACTCATCGCTCCAAGGCACCCTGGACAGGCTACAGGCATGGACTACGGAGAACAAGGTCACCATCAACCACACCAAAACCGTAGTCATGCACTTCAATACCGCCACCACTCCAGTGCAAGCCCCAGCAGTTACAGTGGGTGCCCATCCTCTCCAGCTGTTGCAGTCTGCCAAACTCCTGGGTGTTACTATAGACAACAAACTTGACTGGAAGGCCCATGTAAATAACACAGTCAAGGCAGCCTCGTACCGTCTCTACATGCTAGGACGACTTAGGTCACTTGGGACACCCACGCCAGAGCTGAGGACCATCTACAATGCCTTTATTCTCCCCAAACTAACGTATGCGTCACCAGTCTGGTCGTCTTCTCTCAACTCCACCCAACAACGTCAGCTAGAGAAGATACAGAAAAGGGCCTGCAGAATCATGCTCGGCACAGAATACTCCGGCTACACCAACGCTCTCTCCACCCTGGAAATGCCATCCCTCAATGACCTCCACCACCAAGCGCTGGAAAGGTTTGGCAGCCAACTAATGCACCACCCTCGTCATCGCCACCTCCTGCCACCGGCAGCCCCCACCCACCTGGCGCAGTCCGCCACTACAACAAAATTCAGCCCATAAGAGCCCGCACCGATAGATATGAGAATAGCACCATCCCATCTATTGTTAAAATAATAAACAACTCCTGATTTATGTACTGTACAGCCCTGTAAATGTATTCATTGCATATTATATCATTATGTCTAAATTAAATGTAATTCTGTATATTTTCAGCCACCAGCTGCAACTCTATTAATAAACCGTTTATTATTATTATTATTATTATTATTATTATTATTAAAAGGTTTGATGGCAATATTTTAAATGTAACATGGTAAAGAAGGATCACTAATATATGTGTCATTTGCTCGAACATGGTTTCCTTGATATGGTTCACATGCTATACAACTCTTGTGTCTGCTTCCTCATGCTGACGGACAAGTTCAGGTACAATCTGCCGAAACACCGATTCTCTTTTTACTTCAAATGTATAACACTCTTCTTCTAGTGCTAGATAGATATAATGACCATCTAACATTTCTTTGTAGGTGTGCTTTACCATTCAGCTGCAAGGAATTTGAATAGGCCGGATGACAGTGCTTGACTGAAGTTGTACGGTAGTTACAGTTCAAGGCCAACAATACCAATGTTGACCTCAGTTGTACCACAAATGTGTCGTTCATTGTCTTTGATTGATGACCTTGTACAAGTATCACACACAAAGTCGACACGTCTAGCATGAGCACACAACTTTGACAGCAGGACTTCAGCCACTCAGCTATAAGCAGCAGGGAGATCTGACAAAGATCAGACGAGAAACATTACATCTCTAACGCAATCATCGACTGTGGAAGGTGGTTGACTGTTTACTTTCGTTACAAGTTTCTTTAGTACTATAGACTTTCCTGTTTTACTGATTAATCCATTACGATGTGCCAGAGATGCAGGCACAGGGGTGATGGGCGACTCAAAACTTTAGAAAGACCAATACAAATTTCTGTGGCAAGGTATAATAACCTTCCCAATAGGTCTCTTGTTCCTTGTGTCTCTGGGAACTGCATATCTTTCCCAGTTAACTTGACTTTTACTTCCTCTGTTGTAAAGTTGTTCACTCTACGCCGTGGTATTGGTTGTTGAACTCCACCAGCGTCATTAAAACAGTCTGTTACAAACTCATCACACCACTTCTGGCCAATATCAATACACACTGTCAACTCTTCTTTCACATTTTTTCTGGGACTGCTGCACAGCCAGTTGAAATGCAATACAGATTTTCATCACTAACAACTCCATAGTGATATCTTATAGAAATAAAGTACAGCATTAATGACTAAACCTCATCAGTTACAGTACTGACCACTGAATCATATTTCAATGTTAATTACATAGAATGGCAACAATACACGGAAATGGTTAATCTTGACAAACTTTTCCTGTGAACATAGACAATATAGCTCTCAGACTGTTATGTATAATTCTTAACCCTTTGCCACATGTTTTTGACCAGGTTGTATCAAATAAGAAATGGTGTTTTTATTTACTCATGTAATAAACATTTAAAAAATACCATCAAACCTTTTGGCTTCAGACGGGAGATTACCGCCCCCCCCCCTCCCCATAGCTCTTGGACTAAATGGGCGGAGGTTGATTTACATGGCTGGTTAGTGGTCAAGTATCACAATATGAATCAGAGAAGTGGTACTGGTCTTTAGGTAACACTATCCAGAGTTGTACCTCGTAACCTTTATCCCCAATTATGTAACTGTATATTTTCAGCCTTCTGGCTGCTATGATCTTTCAATAGACCGTTAATTATTATTATTATTATTATTATTACAGTAGTGCAAATACTACCCTCGTTACACACTCCAAGACTTTAATTGTTGAAGCTCAGTGATAATTTAGAACATAAAGTGACAAGACTGTAGTAAATAATTGGTTTCTACACAAGATGGTAAAATAAATGGAGAACAAACTGCATTTTGATATTTCGAGGAGAAATTGCCGAAAGTTCCTTAAAATCTGTTGTTGTTTACCAGAGAAAGAAAAACCAAATTAGTCCCAGTCTTGGTAAGCAATTTCGTTCTAGTGTACGAAATGATGATGGCAATAATTTTTTCCACCAATAAAAATATCATCCTATTATGTACAAATCATACCATCGGTGTTCTCTTATTATGATCATATATATATATATATATCAGTATTGTTTCTGTTTTAATACTCTACCGTTTATATGTACTTAGTTTTATAATGAACACAACAAATTACTTTATCATATCCAACAATGTACAAACGCTGATGTAGTGTATAAAATAAATTTAATATGCGTGAGTATCTTCCATATTATTATTCAAATTTTTTTATATCAATTGACAATGTGTTCTTACCCCTAAAACAAAACCAGTAAACAGTCCTCGAGTATAACCAAAAAAAACACAACCATTATCTAATCATCAAAGCAAGAACATCTGCAGCCAAAACATCCCAGTGTATTGTATGTTGCATTAATCTTTACTCTTACTTCCTTCATTCATCTTCACTACTCCTCTGTTTATCTCCTACTTTCGGTATCGTCAGCGTGGGGGCGAGAAAGACTAGCCAATGAAGAGCAAGGATGCCAAGTGATGGACCAATCAGTACACACACCTTTGGCACTGGAAGGCACAGATAATCAATGACGTACCTTAGTCATTTTCATCACACGTCTTAATAAATGATAAGTGAATAAATACTCCAAAAAACACATTAATAAACAGTAAGATACTTTAAATGAGACAGAAACCCATCATAAGGTGAGGATTTCTGCCAGTTACCAGGGTTATATTCTGGAGTCGTTCAGTAAAGCCGTGTTCCTTGCCTTATGAAAGAATACATTAATCCCATTATGTGATTTACCTGAATCTTTACCTGATACCTTTAATTATAACCATGAGTTTATTGAGCCTGTGGGAGAATTCATTATTAAGCACTGTGTTAGGCTATCAGGTGCGTGAATTATTGATGTGCAGGTATACCCAGTTTTTATTGACCAATTTACACCATCATCGTAAATTTCGGCAAAATATTAAAAAATACGTCATCAAATCAGCTACAGGTAATATAAAAACGTTCAGTGAAATTAATAGTGTAGCGGTAGAGCTTCAGATCAGTTCGTTTACTTTTTATTCAACTCAGTTTTCCTCCAATTTTAATTCGCGTTTTTCTCTCTTTCATTTTTTCTTTTACTGTTAGAGAAAACATAGACTTATACGAAGAATACTGGCTAGTGAGTTGTCCCTTTACTACAATGATCTATAGTGAAATATATTACATGATATACTTCACCTTGATCTATCAGAGGGCACTTAACACAATACTAAAATTAGACTATATAAACTGATTCCTAAATAATAAATATATTAATAAGTTCCTGGTTACTCTGAAAACGAAATGTTGTGTGAAGTTGGGTTAACCAGAGCGCGAACTAGTGACCCAAATTTCAGGAGGCGAGTGCAGTATCCACACGGCCACCACAACCCATAGAGAAAGGACCCCTGTTTTATTCACTTGTGTCTCGCTGCCCGTGGGTGACTGGGCTACTGATGTTTACTTCCACTTCATGTAAAAGCCTCCACTCTTTAATTTCCTAAACTTGTCGTTCAGAATAGCCCTTCATTTCCATTCCCGTTTGTCGGTTCGTCTGTCTGTGAAACCAGCAGCAAGTAAACATAAAATTCTCTCCTATCTCATTTTCAATTTATCTTCACTTACCTGTCTGTCTGTCTGTCTTCAGTGATCTTTTCTAAATTGCGAGTTAAACCCATAACTAATGGATAATTATTGTACATGACCTTTCTCTCTGTCTGTCTGTCTGTCTGCTCTGCTCTGCTCTCCTTAACTAAAGCAGTAGACAAGTTGTATATAAACCTCGCACACTATCACTCTGGGTCACGCTACAAACACCCATGACGCAAATGAACACTTGATACCCTGTAATGAGAATGGATTACCTCTGTGTGTGTGTGTGTGTGTGTGTGTGTGTGTGTGTGTGTGTATCATCTCCTCCCGAGGGCTAGAATAAATCAAGTTTCCAAATATCCTTGAGATTCGACAGCTTTAACTTGAGTTACTGTAGAGGTATTCACCCTTCGTCGCGGTCACCCCCCCCCCCTTAAGACAAAGCCATCCATACCTCCCTTTAATACATTAATGGAAGCGCTGTAAACCGAGGTAGTTTTTCTTTGCTTAATTCAGGTATGACATATCCAGTGGAGGGAGTTCACTTAAAACTATACAACTAAGAATGTGACCTGACACGAAGGAACCTAATTCATGACTCTTGAACTGCACAAAGTTAAGATAGAGTATTATTATCCACTCTGGTGCTTTGACTCTTATGTATAAATGCCCGAGATAATTACACGATTTAAATGTCGTTAGTCGAAATACCGAGGAAATTTAATTTTTTTATTTGGAGTGAATATACTGTATATCGAGGCGCGTAAATATTGCACTTACCGGAGTCAATGCTGGGAAAGGTCGCCTCAGCACATGGCCTTTAAGAAAAGATGGATAGACAGTCATATAAGCTCACATTGATTCAGCATATACATACGCAGTGCAGGCATATACTGTACCGTGCAGGCATACACACAATGTACGGTACATAGACATACGAATGTAAGAGTTTCTCGAGGACGAACAATGTTACAGTATTCACTTCCACTACTTTTAGTTGCTAATGCTTTTCGGAGTCCAAAGGTCAGAGGTCAAGGTCACATCTTTGACAAATGTACCATCAAGTGTTGACACCTTGCTCGAGGGTGGCCTAATCATGAGAGTAATATTCTCTGCAAATATTGTAAAATTTGTCGGTAAATTCTAGACACTTTAATATATTACCGACTCATCTTCAAGCCGTCATTACTCCCGCTGATCTACACAACGATCACCGTCTCCCACTCCTCACAATACTGAACTCTTGTAGCCTCACGACCTCACAGAACCAACCTTCAGTCATGTTGTTCATCGAGTACACTTACCAGAGTTCTTTGAGGGAAGTACTGTAAATGCACACAATATATACTTTACAACCTAAGAAACCTTCCACCGTTTACCATCAATGTAACTCAATATATCTACATGTCACTCCGTTTTTAAAAGAAAAAGCCATAATCCAGATTTACACGAATAAAATAATAAGGTAGAACAATAAAGACATCACAAGACAGTGTTTCAGAACGTATATAACCCATTATCAAAAACATACAGTGACGGCGGCGGGCTTTTGAACTACATTAAAAACTGCTTACATAAAGGTTAAGCTTCCTGGGTATCCACCAGTGGTAAAATATCTCAGCTAGTGTGAACCATTGTAAGGACACCAGAGGACACAAGGAACAATAAGCTGAAGCTGGAGGTATTACATGGTACTGCAGCTGCTCCCTCACGGAGAACTTCCATAATTATTTTTTCGTTGTAATGCAGGAACCACGAATTTACGAAGTTTTTTTTTTTACTTTTCTGAATCGGTACAATTTTACAGTTTTAAATTTTTCCTTTATAGACATGGCCATACCCCAAGGGAATAAGAAATCAACACGTCACTCATACCAGCTAACTGTAACACCTTCCTCCCTCTCTCAGCAGCAAAGAAAGATGAAACGACGAGGAACATACAGACACAGTTTTCATACTTAATATCTAATTGTCGTTTATTGTTGAAGCTTAAAGACTGACTGCACGATACTTAATAACCCGGGAAGTTGAAATACCGAAAGCAAAAAAAAAAAAAAAAAAAAAAAAAAAAAAAAATTAAACAATCAGACAGTCGTGCATACAAATAAATAAAAATAATAAATATTCTTCATCACAAAGTCAAATGGGCTTAACAATAATGACATGCCACTGCAGTAGTCTAATACAGCGGAAGAATGTGGAGCCTCAAAATCCCGAACTGGCACCTGCAGAGCCTCCCGTCAGAAAAGCCAATAAAAGCGCAGGAAAAATGCAGAATATCCAATCACAAGACTTGAAAGAGTCGGGGCATGAATGTGCCTTGTTACTTATTCACCTACAGACGAAATTCTCTCCCTGTAATATAATGTAAATCGAACTTTGTAACTTTGTAAATAATGTAGAACCGTGTTTTACTTTTTGGACCGTCACTCAGTGTGCAACTGGAAAAAAAAATTACACACACACACACACACACACACACACACACGGAGATACACGGTAACATTAATAACATGAACGTATTACCCTCTATGTAACAGATTCTTACAAAAAAATTATATTCAGATAATTAGAAGTGTTCATAGAGGTCACTGGAGACTTCTAATTGGGCTCTAGGAGTAACAGATCAACAATAACTAACTAGGTATTAATGAAGGTAGACGTAGGTGCTATGTAAGACTGAGGAGAAATATAACTAACCAGATTTTTAAGTGGAGTGAGACAAGGAGGTTCCCGGTCACCACATATATTTAAACTATTAATTAAGAAAAACATAAACAACACCAGAGTAAATAAGTAAGAGTGTAGAAGAATGAATACAATTTATTATTTCAAATATTTTTTTTCAATATCAAGAAAAAACAGACTTTCTCCCTTTATCCATTGTTATTCATTCAAGACTCCAACGCTATCTTGTTACTCCACTACAGCCGAGCACCAACCGTCAGCAGCATGGCCATCCTTAAAGGCCACTTGAGGCCATGTAGACATACGACTAGATTCATATACCTATACAGATCATATTTGTTTTTCTGAGTAGTGTCTTGAAAAGGAGGAGGAGGAGGAGGAGGAGGAGGAGGAGGAGGAGGAGGAGGTCTTTGAGATAAAGAGATTATGAAGAGTTGTAAGAGAGGAGAAATAGGATAGGCAAGGAGACAGGAAGAAGAAATAGATGTTAAGGGATGAGGTAAAGGAAGAGAAAAGTATGTGAACGAAAAAGAATAGATGAAACGGAAGAAAGAAGAATAAAGAAGAAAAACAACAATAAAAATAAGGCCAGTCATTCAGTACAGGACACAGATAAACTCGCCAAAAAATGCAAAAATTAAATAAAATAAAACAATAATAAAAAAACGCTGGACAAGTAAGATAAAACCTCCATGAATAAGAGTGTCACATTTCCGCTTCATTACGTCGCCAAGACAAACACGAACTCCTGTCTCCTCACTCTGGTCAACACAACCACAAACCAACCCACAAACTTACCTCCAGGCAACTTACGTATGCAAAGGTCCTAAATTTCAACTAGACATTTTTACGTGCAACAATTTCCCCCCAAAACACAACACTAGAATGTTTGTAAAAATTTTTTATGTATATTGTATTTTAAAGGACAGTGGGGACGGCAAGAAAGCCTCAAGGAACCAGTTTTAAGAAATGAGTGTGTGTGGGGGGGGAAGGCTTTATCGTGAGCTCCAGGCAACCTTACTTGGGAGGTGTGAGCAGTGACAGAGAGAGTCTTCGGTCAAAGAATGGGGAGCCTGGGGGGGGGGGTAGGAATGATTTTGATTTTGCCTCTTACAGCGGCTACTTTATTGTGCACCCCACACTCATCCTGTGAGCGGTAGCGCAAAAGGATTACAGAGTAGAGTTTACAACGGGTCATAATAATTAATCCCCGTTGTCAGGATATTATGGCACTGAATGTTACACAGTGTTTCAATTACATTATTTGTTTAGTTCTATACATAAAGGGTAACTTATTCATAACTGCGTGAGTACAGGCGTGTGAGGCAGTATGTCTGGCCTCACACTTTGTTATTCACATTTACGTGGGAGGTATTCAAGCACATTGTGTATTTGGTTCTGTACATGAGAACTGATATAGTTACTAAGTGCAAAAAAGTGGATCCAATCTTAATATGTCGGCTATCTTGCCATTAGAGATGAAGTGTTGTGCCATTTCGCACACAGTGTGCTTGGACCTGTCCCTAAAAGGTTCTATCTTCACACAGTCGAGGACGTAGTGTTCAAGTGTGTGGCCATATGTCTGGCCACACACTTTACATTTAGTTTTGTTTACATCTGCTTGAGGGTGTGGCTAGTGGTGGGGTGTTCGGTCTTTACTATGGAAGGGGAAGGTGGGGATGGGGGTGTGGGAAGGTGGGGATGGGGGTGTGGGGGTGGGGAAGGTGGGGATGGGGGGTGGGGGGTGGGATGGGGTGGGGTGGGGAAAGTGTAGGCAGTGACAGTGGTGTTGATTGATTGATACGTTTATTGAGATACAAAAAACATTAATACATCCCAAAGGGATGAAGTGACATAAGTCATCCCCACCCCAGTCCAGGAATGTCCCTCTCAGGACTCACATAAATCCCTAATATTTCATATAATCAGTTCTAGTACATAGTTATATTGTAGATGCAAAATTTCTATATTTCTTTAATATTTCATCTATTTTCCCATTTCCAAACATCCACTCTATTTGCTTGGGGACATTATTTATATGGGCATTTCTATATACATTAAGCAATGGGCATTCCAGTATATAATGTGGCAGGGTATGGGATCTGGGTGTTCTACAAACTCTACATTCTTTATCCTGTTCACTTCTCTCAGCTCCAAGTTCCCAATAATATTTATATCCTAATCTTAACCTCATATACACTGAATCTTTCCACCTACTCCTATCTTTCCCATATGTAAATTTTGTGTTCATGAGAACATGATGGTAATGTTTCATTGTTTCACTTTTCTCGTATATTTCATTCCTTTTGAAATTATCTTCTATTGATTGTATTTTCCGTAATTTGCTCCTTAATTGTTTCAAGGTTTTAGTACATATTATGTCGATCTCTGCCTTTTCCGTGGCTCTTTTTGCTATTATATCTACACAGTGGTGTTCGAGCATGACAGAGAGAGAGAGAGGAAGGAGGGGGGTTTTCGTCAGGTGTGGGAGGCTTCAGTACAAGAGAACAGTCACAGAAGACAAGTATTCACACTACAACATACGAACTAAGTAATGTCAACCAATACCACACACACACACACACACACACACACACACACACCTAGTTAAAATGGCTACGCAAGGAAACATTTAGTCCCAGCTAATACACTGTAGGTTTTAACGAGCTGGTGGCACGCTAATGTGTAATAACATATATCAAAGTTATGTTCATCTCTCTGTATAGTTAATTCACGACGGAGGAAGACCACGACGGAGGAAGACCACGACGGAGGAAGACCACGACGGAGGAAGACCACGACGGAGGAAGACCACGACGGAGGAAGACCACGACGGAAGAAGATCACGACGGAGGAAGACCACGACGGAAGAAGACCACCACGGAGGAAGACCACGACGGAAGAAGACCACGACGGAGGAAGACCACAACGGAAGAAGACCACGACGGAGGAAGACTACGACGGAAGAAGACCACCACGGAGGAAGACCACGACGGAGGAAGACCACGACGGAAGAAGACCACGAGGAAGACCACGACGGAAGAAGACCACCACGGAGGAAGACCACGACGGAAGACCACGACGGAGGAAGACCACAACGAAGAAGACCACGACGGAGGAAGACCACGACGGAAGAAGACCACCACGGAGGAAGACCACGACGGAGGAAGACCACTACGGAGGACGGAGGAAAACCACGACGGAGGAAGACCACAACGGAAGAAGACCACGACGGAGGAAGACCACGACGGAGGAAAACCACGACGGAGGAAGACCGACGACGGAAGACCACTACGGAGGAAGACCACCACGGAGGAAGACCACGACGGAGGAAGACCACACGGAGGAAGACTACGACGGAAGACCACGACGGAGGAAGACCACAACGGAGGAAACCACGACGGAGGAAGACCACAACGGAAGAAGACCACGACGAGGAAGACCACGACGGAGGAAGACCACGACGCGGAAGAAGACCACGACGGAGGAAGACTACGACGGAGGAAGACCACGACGGAGGAAGACCACGACGGAGGAAGACCACGACGGAGGAAGACCACGACGGAGGAAGACCACCACGGAGGAAGACCACCACGGAAGAAGACCACCACGGAGGAAGACCACGACGAAGGAAGACCACCACGGAGGAAGACCACGACGGAGGAAGACCACAACAGCATCACTAAACACAGAATAATACAAATAAAAACGTATAAAGTATGCCATAGGGGAAAAAAAATATATATATAGTCAAGTTTGATTCTATACACGGTGACGGATGCGGGATAACAAGATATTTTGGCGTACACGGGAGAGGAGGCTATTGGGATACGTTTAAAGTTGATAGCGTGTGTGTATCGTGAAGACGGAGTAGAGAAGTCATGTCATCTTGCGAGGCTTCGAGAGCAACATAAATTCGAGTCACGTTCGTCTAAAGGAGGATTAAGTCAGATTTTATAATGACGAACGCGGCGACGGTAACAACACGAGTCAAAGAAACGCCAATTGAATGATTCTTTTTATGATGATGGAGACGAAGGAGAGGAAATGAAGTAAGCAGATGTAGGAGAGAAGAACCGAAGCAGAGACAGAAAGTGAAGGAAAGAAAGGATAAAATATATGAAATATGGCAAAGGAGAGAAGCTGAGACTGACATAAGAAGAAAAATGTAGAGAGAGAGAGAGAGAGAGAGAGAGAGAGAGAGAGAGAGAGAGAGAGAGAGAGAGAGAGAGAGAGAGAGTTTATCAATCACTCAACGCAGGAGAGATAAAAAAGAGAAAAAAAAGAGACATAAGAGAAAGAGAAATAAAAAATGGCAGATAAACAAACAGACAGACGGAGAATCAACTAAGATAGACAGACATAAATATTATACAACCTCCATGATATAAACCACAACAATAATAATATCAACACAAATTTCAAGACACAGTCAACAGACCAGGCTTATGACTTACCTGTTATCCTACCTTAATTAACCGTGTTTCTCTAACTGAACAAAACTTAATTGGTTACCTGCAAATACCTGGCCCCTATCATGGTTTATTTAGGCTGCAACTGAACTGTAGTGACCTCACGATGGATTTGTTATTATATCAGAGTAAATTCTTGAAAATAGGTATCCCCCCCCCCTCCCCCCATCTCTATCTCTCACGTATTAAGGAATATGATTAATAAAAACACTCCCTGTGACCTCGATGTCCTTCTCCCATGTTGATAATTAAGTTAATAATATTGTTATAAAAGACCCGCGACCTTTCTTCTCGTTGCCATGGAAACACTTCTCGTCAACGTCATTCACGAAATAAAGTCCATCGGGGGGAAAACAAAATAAAAATAACCGGATGTTCGGAGAGAGATAACCACTCCCTTAATTGAGAGACTGTGGGAATTAGGCAGTTAGATCGTTTACAAGACAGTTAAGAAGTCAAATAAACAGTCGTATTCAGTGTTGTCAAGAGGTAGCGTCCACTGTGTGTGTGTGTGTGTGTGTGTGTGTGTGTGTGTGTGTGTGTGTGTGTGTTTTCTCCTTCTATGTCTGTCTCATATTACAATACTGCCATGATTCATGTCTTATTGTGCGTTCATATTATGTCTGTCTGTCTATCTGTTTGATACCTGGCTGTGCTCTAGTCTGTCTACCTGTCTGTCATCTTCTCTTTTCATCTGTTCCTCTGTCATATTCCAATTGTCTGTCTCTTTTTTTATCTCTCAAACAAACACACACAAACGCCGTCGTCGACAGCACATTGTGAACATTGACTTATACTCATTAAACCCCTTGAGTACGATGACTGAATCCCTTGAGTACATCACTGTCGTACTCGAGGGATAGGTCATCATATTCAAGGGACTTAGACACTGGTACACAGGGGATTAAATCATCTAAATATATACGTTTATAATACCTTTTTTATTCAATTTAACTTAACAGGAAGAATACGTTTTTAAATGGGTCTTGGAGGCAGGAGTATTTTCACCCACACAACAGCTGTGACGCGCAGCAACAGGGAAGTGTTTCAGAGCAGTGATGATAAATGGTGTTGATTCAAGTCGTTACCTCGCCAAACGACGTTCACTTTTCAGCAGGCTCCGTTTCATTTCATATATCCTTTTTTCTTTTTCCAGGTAAAATTCGACAGTCCATTTCGTTTGTGTTTAGTGTGTACAGTACAGTAAGTTTAGCAATGTATTTGATCTTATTTCCCCAAGGAGGTGTTTTGAGTGTTACTAGATAATAAATATTGTCTTTTTTTCATGGTCATTTATGAGACTTTTCTGAGCAGGTCGTCAGTCCATGACACCAGAGAACCAAACTCATCTCACCTGTGTGAAGCCTGAGTGGCACACCTGTCGTATGGAACAACAGTGTAATTCATCATTCATTTTTAAGACATGTCTCTTATGACTTAAAATGAAAACAAAGCAAAACGCAACGGACATGAGTAAGGGCAAATGTTATAAAATAGATAAATGCGCAGTGGCTATGAATAGGGGAAGAGGGATGGAGAAGGAGAGCCAATTATCGAGACAAATAACTAAGGCTGTAGTGAAAGAGCTTAAGGGAGGGTGAAGGATTGAGGTGCACCAGCTCCTGACGGTATTCACCAAATATTGCCTAAAAAGAATTCAGCTTTACTTCATGGGAGGGAGGAATCACTAATAACCAGAACCTACCCTAACCTGACAACTGAACCGAACCTAACCTAACCTGACAACTGAACCGAGCCTAACGTAACCTGACCTAATCATACCTAACCTAACCTCAACCTCACGTAATCTAATCTAACCTAACACAACCTAACCTAACCTAAACTAACCAAACCTAACGCACCCATAACGTAACAAACACACAGACAACTTTGAATATAAAAATATAGTTCCGTGAAGGAATATTCTTTCAGTTTTCAACATCAAAGGTGGGGAGGAAAATATACTTGACTGTGATAAAACACACACACACACACACACACACACACACACACACACTAATAAACCACATCAGTGAAGAAAAAATACCACACAAATTCATAGTAAAAAGAAGAATAAGCGAAATACACTAAAGGGAAAGTGACAACAACAATAATGACAAATAAAAGATAAAAGGAAAATGAATAATTCTTGGGAGAGTAAAACAATCCTCGTGAATTATGAAGAACCATTAAATAAACAAAGCTGAACCAAAGCTACATGGCCAAGCATAGCAGAATCAAGGAGGCTACATGGCCAAGCATAGCAGAATCAAGGAGGATACATGGCCAAGCATAGCAGAATAACGGATACATGGCCAAGCATAACAAAATTAAGGAGGATACATGGCCAAGCATAGCAGAATCAAGGAGGATACATGGCCAAGCATATCAGAATAAAGAAGAATACATGGCCAAGTATAGCAGAATCGAGGATACATGGCCAAGAGAGGTTAAATAACACGGCATATATACGGACCACGTACTGTAAGTTACTCGTATAATGCACACTGGAAATGGAGTCGTTATTAAGTAGAGCCACTTCATACAGTAAGGATATTGGAGTGTCATTTGGGACAGAGAAATGCGACAAGACCTTTAACTATGTGATGGTGACCCGGAGACTGGTAAGAGGAGGCGGAGGCAAGGTGGTCAACAACAGGAAGACGTTATTTTTTAATTTTTATTCGAATTTTTGATGTTGTTGTTTGGTGTGTGTATATGTAGAATTTAAAAGTGTTGTTGAATATGATACTTCAAAAGACTATCGGGTATTTGAAGCAAGTACTAAGATTTGGTGAAAGCTTAAATACCCGGTCTGTCGAATTGAAGTGACTAAATATATCAAAATAATAAAGATCAAGTCAGTTAAACCCATGATGGATGTGAATGAAGTAAAGAACAAACAAAGTAAAATAAGACAATTATCACAAGACCCGATAACCTCAAGAGATTAAGAATTAGAAAACGGAGAGAGAAAAACTTAACACATACAATAATTTCAAAAGAACCAAAAATAAAAAAAAGATAAAATGAAATAAGAAACTGAATAAATATCATGAGTTAAAAGTCGAACGGAATAGATAAGACGGTGACAAAAGATAACACCGCGGCAGCACATGATAAGGCTGTGGGTCGGGAGTCTCGGTGGACAAGATAAAAGTCAGAAGAGCTTACGAACGACACAGAAACTAATTATGGGGCACAATTCTTCACAACTTAATGGAGGTATGCCATTTGGACTAAGAGCTTTGCTAAGATCTATATATGGTGGAGCAGACGACACATTAAGCACATAAAGTTTTTTTTTTAATATATTAAGGAATAACTTATTTTACAGTTTTAAAAGTGAACATTAAAACTTGGTGGTGAATAATGGAATTGAGAATAAGTTTTCGTCTCAAAGTGTAAAAAAAAATATGATTGCAAGACGAATATGAAACCATCTACCTTTTTTTTGTAATATGACATATTGGAAAATGAGAAACATAAGGAGGAACTGAGAGATATTAGTTATCTCAGTTATTGGATCAGGTGTATGAAAGACTGCAGCAGTGAAGCAAAGTGAAGCAGAGTGAAGCAGAGTGAAGCAGACAATAGCTGTAGAAGTTCAAAATAAAAGAAATAACTCGAATGTAACTGTGACTAAATAAGATAATAATTAAGGTTTATATCACAGAGTGGATGATTTATTCCAGGGTTACCGGACGCCTTTATGAGTTAACGATGAACTTTATGCATTGATAAGTGGGAAAAAAAAATGTCGGAAAGATATTAATGAAACGAGCTTTGATAATGTGTTTTATTTAATGGCATCGTGGAATAGGTTGATGCCCGAGAGAGAGAGAGAGAGAGAGAGATGACGCGACTGAGGGAACTGTTAAACACAAGTACATCATTATAACTGATCTCTAAGACGGCTACCAACTAAACTGGACTCATCGATCGCAGTCAAATACTCAATCGTCCTCTTATGTACTTGGGGGGGGGGGAGTTAACGGAGACACCCTGACACCCAGTAGATAATATTTTTTTTTACTAAGATCAGTGGCTCAGTGGCTCAATACGGACAGGCGTCAGTGGCTCAGTGGTAGAACTCTCGCCTCTCATTGCCAATTTACTGGGTGAGAGATCGAGCCTGTAATATCTCCGCTGTTGGACAAAAGCCTTCTTATCTCCCTCTCACAGTACGAAAATGTGGAGAAAGTGATATATTAGAAAGTTGTGG